AAATCATTCTAATATGCTGATTTACTGCTCAAGAAACATTTCTCAATATTATCAATAATACCATTGTGTTGCTTAATGTTTTTGTGCAAACTGTGATACTTTTTTGAAAAGTCCAAAAGAACAGCATTTATTTAAAAGAGAAATCTTTTGTAATAATTTAAATGTTTTTACTGTCAATTCTGAACAATGTAATGCATCTTTGTTGAATAAGAATATTAATTTATTTAAAATAAATAATGTAATTGACCCCAGACTTTTGAATGCTAGTGCAGTTTTTCCACCCTCTCTCTGAATTGCATTGACATAAATCCCATCTTTGCATGTGTGTGGGCAGAGGTGTACTGTTGAATGTAATTTTTAACCGGCCCTGCCATATTGTGATCAATGAATAGTGTGTTAAACAGGTGAACAACACTGAATAGATGCTGTTGACGTGTAAAGGCCCTTTCACACCAAATGCAATACAAGAAATCTTAATAAATCGTTGATGAATGGTCTATTCACGCAAAGAGTGAAACCAATATTCATTGGGCTGAATGAAAAGCAAATTGCACAAACAATAGTTGGTGCTGATCGACAGCCAAATTCATGTGTGTGTTGAACCTTTCAGCACAGCTGGTCTGGGAAATGTTATGTTACACTATTTAGTCATTTAAGGTTTGCAAGTTAGTTTCAATAAATGGTCTTTTTGGGCTGGGCAGGATGTTTGTGTTCCCAAAGTTACAGTGCAGCGTGTTTTCATAGTACAATCAACTGATTCATCATGATATATATGACCCCCTTAAGCACTTCAGGCTGCCTGAAGACCTTCAGAATCCAAACAATTCCTACATTCCCTTGTGTTTTCCTGCAGACGTCACATAAGCTGGAACACTGTTATTCCTAACACAAATGGTCTCTTTTTCCCAGGATGCTTATCCCAAAGGTGTGATTCCCTTAGCTGCCATACAGATGGCCCGTGTAGCCAAAGACAATAAATTTGAGGTTGTCACAAGTCACAGGACATTTGTCTTCCGAGCTGATAATGATGGTAAGCAGAGCATTTTTAGCCGATAACTAAATTTTTCTAAATTTACATTAATGCATTTGACGCTTAAACGCGACTTTACATTGCATTCAGGTTATAAGTTCATGCATTCCCTGGGAATTGAAACCCATGACTAAAAATCTCAATATGTTGGCAAATATTCTTTTTTTTATATAGCATTCACATAACCTGCCATCTAAAAACATTTATTATGGCACAATATTACAAAATAATGTTTAGAAAAGTGTTTTACTTATTAAAAATTTTACTAGGTCAAAAGAAACCGTATGATCTCGCTTTATTTCTTTTCGTAGTTCAGAGGAGCAAATGGTGCAGCACGTTGCAGGAGCGGGTCAAAGAACAGCTGGTTTTCGGCCGCCCATGTTTTGGCCCCGGCAGTCACTGCCAAAAGATCGGCTTCCTGGAGCTCAAAGGAACTAAGTCTAAGATCTACACAGCCATTATTATGGAGCAGATCTGGTTGTACAAGAGTGAGCAGGTGATTAGTTAATCACGTTATAGCCATACTACTCTAGATTTAGTACCAATGATTTACTTTGCCTCTTTCTTCTCTCAGTGTGATGCAATTTAAGTTTTTTGAACTTCCTATAGCATATGTGCAATTCATTCAAAAATAGCCTTAAATTATTTGCGTCATGGAGCTTTAACTCTTAGTTTAAGGCTGACCCTTTGTGATATGTGTTCTGCAGTGCTTTAAA